AAGATCTTGATTATATTGTACATTTCATTTTTTTTTTCATTAATGCAATTCTTGGATTAGTTATTCAATTGAATTGAACCTAGAGAATTTACATCAATGGAAGTTGAGTGAATATTTCAGATCTAAATTGAATGTCAAGATTATTGATATCTTAGGAATAAGTATTCATCATCTTGTGATCTCTTGATTTTTAATACTTAATACAATGTTTGATTGATTTACACCTAAAGAATTAGGGTAATTGATTTGTTATTAGGATCATTAAGTCAACGAATTGACTTTGATTAACCTAGTGAAATTGATCATCAATTAATTAAGGAACTTAAAAATTCATATCACATTTAGTTTTACAATTGACAAATAGGTAAAATCATTCCTAACATCATTTGATTAGTCATATAATTTCCCAAATCTTTACTCTGTTTGTCTTTTCCTTCTACTTCTTCACTTTATCTCTTTGGTTCTTAAATATTCAAAACTCCTCATATTTCGATTGGCTCAAATAGCTTTTGATCTTATGAATTGATAATCGATTAAATCAATCCTTGTGAACAATATTCTAAACTCAATATTCTGAATTTTATTACTTGTTGTAACTACCTAGTACACTTGCTAGATAGGATTCCAGAATGAACACTTTCCATATAATATCATGTATTTTCAAAATCAAGTAATCAAAGTAGAAATAACACTCCCATCAAGTCTCAAGATAACACGAAGGATATAATAAAAATAATTATCAAATCAAGGCAATCTAAAAAGAAAGAAAGAAGAGACTTTTTTTCCCAATGAAATTTAATTGTTGTCCAAAACTTAGGAGATTAGGTTTTTGACAATGGGGATGTTACATCATTTTTTGTTTTATGTCCCATCTCCCAAACAGAAAACAAGACTTCCCAACCACATCTAATTGAATTAAAAGGGCATTTAAGGCTGTAGAAATGCATAGAGATCCTTGGAAAAATTCATAGTGATAAATTATTATAGAAGAAGAAGGGGAATAAATTTAGTTATTCCATCAACTTCTTTTAAAATAAAAAATATAAAAAAATAAATTTAAAAAACATTTATTTTGTGGCTAATTCAAAAAAGAAAGGAAACAATGAGGTTTAATTAGGAAAATAGTTTATAATATGTTAAAAAGTAGTTGAATACTCTCCCAATTCTTTTAGGTGTTACTTGTTTTATCTAGAAAAATCAAATTTTCTTGTAGGTACGCTACGTTACAACCCTATAAGGATTTTTATTGATTCATGTTGAATGTGTAATTGGTGATATATTGGAGATGAAAAACAAAGTTAACTTGATCTAAACTTAGTGTTTGGATATAGAAAACATTCACCCCTAAACTTCACTAAGAGATATAGTGGTAAAGACCAGCCCTTATGTTTGTGCTCGTTGGTTTTAAAACAATTTTTGAATTGTATCTTTGTTATGACTTCTAGTTAAGAGCACTACACATACAAATAGTTAACCAATCCTCCTAACTTGTGGCTAATCTTGATAATTTGAAATATGCGCATTCGAGAAGATGACTTTCACCTCTCAAACTTTAAGCATTATGCATTGTTGTATTTTGATTATAATGAATTTTGTTTGAAGACAAGAAAAATGCTAAGTTGGAAGTGGTTTGATAATTGTAAATGTTACTAGAAATATTGGATTGAAAAGAGAAAAATTTATCTCCAAAATTTTATTCTAAATAGAATTTTGTCTTCAATTGTATATAAAAGCATAATTAGATAATAACATAACAAATATATTAGTTGTATTGCCATTTTTTAAGTATCTTGAAATGTTTTGCAGGAAAATATGGAAAAGAAATTCTCTTAAGCTAAAATGGTGCAAAAATTAAGGCCACAGACTTAAGTGAGCATAAACTTCTTAAGCAAAAACAAGACAGATGAAAAATTTATCAAAATAAAAATTTACTTAAGCAAATATATTTTGGCTTTAGCAAATTCATTGGAGGGGTCTTAGGTTCCAACGCTATGGAATTATCTTAAGGCATCCAAAAAATGGCTTAAACAAAACTCACTTTCAAAAAAGCAGAGAAGTGATTCGCTTAAGCAAAATTAGAATTTTTTAAATATTTCATGTGTATTGTAAGATTAGTGTAATCATATGTATTTATTATCATGCCTATCGATTAGGATTGTGTAAACTTGAACTATGTGAATTGTTTATATGTTGGAATATGGAATATAAAAGTTGTGTGATTGCCGGACAAGGAGCAGGATAGTTGTTGTTTCGTATGATGATATTATTATATGTGAAATGCAATGTGAGTTGAATAATGATTGTTAAATATGCTGAGTGCAGAATATTTTAGAAAGCATGATTAAGAATTGGTATTATTTTCCTCGGGAGAGAAATTTTGGAGTCTACGTGCAGGGTATCTCGCTCAAGTGAGGGCAGATAGGATTGTCTCAGTTGTAACCTCGCCCAAACGAGAAGAAATCTTGCTCAGACAAGAGGTGACCTTGCTCAAGCGAGGGGTTCTCGCTCAAGCGAGGAATCATAGAAAAATTTAGTAGCTTGATAAATGCTTTCTATACTTGATCGTACATTGTAATTCATGAATGATAATTGAGAGTTTTAAGCTATTAATTGAGAAAATTTACTATAATTAATTTCATTTTATTCATATTTCAGGAAAAAGGATCAAGAAGTGAAAGTTTTAAAAAATATTGGGAATTGAAACACACAAAAAAGCCAGAGATATACACGAGCAAGTACATGCCCGTGTATATGAGCGTGTATCTCACTGGTCGCGTCAATTGAAGTGTATCATCAAAACCAGAGATGTACATGGCCAGATACATGGCCATGTACATGAGCGTGTACTTTTATGGAAAGCTTTGAAGGGCGTCTATTAGAAAATAGAGATGTACACGGCCAAGTACATGGCCGTGTACATGGGCGTGTACTTTTACGCGCATCAGAAATTTAACTTTTGCGAGAAAATTAACCCTAGGATAATTCCTATAAAAGGAGAACTAAACTCAAACCTGAGTAGGCAGTTTTTGGAGACGAAAGACTCAGAAACAGCAGGAGGATAGGATCAAGCGTTTTAATTCATCTCTTTTGTAATTTTAATTTCAAGATGTTTAGGTTCTAACTTTCCTTTGAGTATCTAGACGTAATGAATCCTAATTGACTAAATTTTCTGGAATTCTTCTAATGCTATTTCATGTTCCTTTCTCTTGGGTTTAATTGAGTAGTATCAATTTTCTTCTATTTGTTTTCTTGTTTGAATTTGAGTAAAATTCTTGCATGAATTTAACATTACTCAATTAAAAAGACTTGAATGCATTTCTAGAGATAGAAAGACGTGAGTTTTCTGTATTAGGATTAACCCTAATTATGGAATTCATAGTGAACTTAATGCAACCTAAAGGTATTAATTAAGGAAGAGATTCTGATTAATCAACTGAGGGTTAGGAATCATTATCCTTGAGAAAGGTATTGATTTAAATTAGAATTTCCTGCAGCGATAAGGGTTTGAAACTAAGTAGTTGAAGAAGAATTTCAGTTATTTGGACACTTAGGGGGATTTACAGTCTAGATACTTGCCTTTTTCCTTTGAATACCTTTAGTTATAATTTTCTATAATTTATTTTCACAAGAATATCTGTTTCTTTTAAATTATTATTCTTTTACTTTTAGCAATTTCATTAACAAAGTTTATTTTTCATATTTATTAACAATTACGCAATTAAGAAAAAATTTGGCAAATTTATTAAAATATTGTAAATTAAAAAAATTTATTATTTTATAGGAAATTTGAAACAATTTCTCAATCTGGGGTTTTTTTGCCACGTGGAACAAAATTTTGCCAAACGGCTGGCGAAAGTATTAATTTTTGAATTTTTTAAAATCTATTTCGCCAAAAAAAATACGAAATACGAGTTCTTAGAGCGGTTAAATTAAAACCGCTCTCATTAGTCTATTTTAGAGAGCGGTTCCTTTTGAACCGCTCTCATAAGTCCATTTAAGAGACCAGTTGCTTCGAACCGCTCTCATAAGTCCATTTTAGAGAGCGGTTGCTCTTGAACCGCTCTCATAGCTCCATTTTAGAGAGCGGTTCCGTTTGAACGGTTCCGTTTGAACCGTTCTCAGAAGTGCATATTAGAGAGCGGTTCTGCTGGAACTGCTCTCTTAGATTTAAAATGGACAGCTGGGGAGATTTTGATACACGTGGCAACATCTGAGATGAATCGCACTGCTACTGGCGAAAGCTCATTTCGCCCTGCAGTTAGCGAAACCGCTTTTGACCGTCTCCCTTCTTCCTCCTCCATGACCGTCCTCCTTCGTTTCCATTTACATGTTCTCCGTCTCTGCTCCTCTATCATCGTCCGAAGTTTCAAAATTTGTTTTGATTTGCTGTGAAGGATCAAATACTGCTACGAATTTAACAGGTATGAAACTATAACAACATGCATTTATATATTATTTTTAATTTGATTTTGTTAATTAGAAAATCTGATAATAATATTGTAATATTTTTAAACTCTACGTATGTAAGTGATTTGGTAATTAAGTGGGGGTGAGTGAAGAATTTGCTGAAAGTTTATTAAAGATTAGTAAAAAAGAATTTAAAATTTAAATAGTTTTTTATTTATTTATATATAGATTAATATGTTTTTAGAAAAAATAAAATGTGATATAGTTAATTAAAATATAAAATTATAATTAATTGTTAAGAAGATAGGTTAAATTAAGATTTATAAAATTTGTTTACAGGAATTATTATAGATATTTATTAAAATACAGAATAATAAAAATTGAGTTAAATAAAATAAATATATAAAACTAAATATAAAAATTTATACTTAGTTTGATTGTAATAAATAATTTTTACACTTATATTGAAGTAAAATTTTAAAATTGTATTTATATAAAATTTATGTATTATTAATATGTTAGTAAAATATAAATTATTATTATTATTATTATTGAATGAAATTTTTTTACTAATATTTTTTATTGTTGTATAGATGGCATCATCTTCACAACAAAGTAGGGTTATTAATCTCGGGCCAGAAGATCCATCACTTCTTCGGTTTCAGAGTATTCATGTATCTGAGCATATTTGGGATGGACGTGATCACCCGACATTGAGAGTTAGGAAGAGTCCAAATATTCCCGGTGGATTAGAAGGTATTCCGGAAGAAATTATTCCACATCTGGAATTAGCGGGTTTTGTTGGAGTGGCTAACTTGTCTAAGCTTCCTGTAGACGTGGGATTGATTACTACATTAGTAGAGAGGTGGAGGCCCGAGACGCACACCTTCCACATGCCCCCTGGAGAGTGTACTATTACCCTTCAGGATGTTGCTATTATATTAGGATTACGCATAGATGGGAGACCTGTTATAGCACCCACTGGGGGTGATTGGGCTCAGATTGTGGAAAACAGCCTAGGTATGAGACCAGGATCAGAGGCTTTTGTAGGGAGTTTCTTGAAGATGAGCTGGTTGGACGAACACTTCACTCATATTGCCATGCATAATCAGACTCCACTGCAGATCACTTGGTTTGCTTGGGCATATATATTGAGGCTTATTGGAGGGTTCATGCTTCCTGATCACTCTAGCAGTAGGGTATCTGTGAGGTACTTGCCTTTGCTTGAAGATTTTGAGTTGACCGGTCAATATAGTTGGGGTTCTGCAGTTCTAGGTTATTTGTACCGAGAGATATGCATGGCCACCAACATTGATCGTGTTGCTATTGGAGGACTGACTGCGTTAATTGTGAGTTGGGCTTGGGATAGATTTCCCCAGATAGCACCTATCAATCCTCCCTATAGTCGTCCTTATCTTCTGTACGGTGTTAGGTAAGTTGGTATTGTTATTGCTAGCACTACGCATTTGTAGGTGTTCTATAATGTTATTTGTTTGGCTTCATGTTTTTATGGTCAATTACTTGCAGATGGTTATCCCACGTACTTTTGTGTGTTGCAATTTTTTTTTTTGTAGTATATTTTTTTTCTCTTTTTTTTTTTCCAATGAGCAACGTGCGATGAATAGTACTTTTCAATCCAATTCTAACCAAAGCTCTTGATACCAATTGATAAAATACACCCAGTCCACCGGTTAGCATAATATTATCCGCTTTGGGGGTTAACCCTCACGGTTTTGTTTCTCCCATATATGACACACTAGAAAAAGGCCTCATGCTAGAAGGAAGGACGCCACAACTATTTAAAGACTGATAAGTCACTCCCCTCAACCGATGTGGGACTCATCATCCCCTCCCTCTTCAAGAGAGTCCGCCACGGACGCACCGATAAGGCACTTAAGCCGCCACAGATATGCCGATAAGGTCCATCGGCTCCGGCCCAGGCTCTGATACCAAATGATAACATACACCCAGTCCACCGGTTAGCATGATATTGTCCGCTTTGGGGGTTAACCCTCACGGTTTTGTTTCTCCCAGATATGACACACTAGGAAAAGGCCTCATGCTAGAAGGAAGGACGCCACAACTATTTAAAGACTGATAAATCACTCCCCCCAACCGATGTGGGACTCATCATCCCCTCCCTCTTCAAGAGAGTCCGCCACGGACGCACCGATAAGGCACTTAAGCCGCCACGGATATGCCGATAAGGTCCATCGGCTCCGGCCCAGGCTCTGATACCAATTGATGACAACCACAAACCGTGTCGCCGAATTAAGCGATCTTGAATTGGATTTCACACAATAAAAACGAAATTATTACGGCACAAATAAGAATTGAAATAAGAAGAAAATTAATAAAAAGTAAAAATAGAATAGAGATGGAAAATGGCGCCACAATCGCAAGATTGATAAGCCAAGGAACGATCACCACAAGAGTTTTGGCCTCTTGATAAGATCAAAGAAAATTGGCTCACTCAAGAACCTAGAGTCACACGCTCTCACAAGAGTGTTCAATCTCAAATTATATTCAAAACTAATTAAAAGTGTGTTTACAAGAGCTTATATATGCCTAATGCTTGTAAACTAATACTAACGCAAATCCTAATGGGCTTCTTGTACCAACAAGCCTAAATTCAAATAGACTAAATAAAATAACAAGATTTTATCCTAAATAAAACTCAAAACAAGTAATGACTAATATTAAAATAAATAAACTAAACATAATAATTAAATCCTAATAAAACTCGTTAGAGTTCAAATCCTCTAAGCATATGTAATTGATTATCTTGGACTTTTCTAACTCTAAATTGAGCTCCCTTTCAAATAAGACAGCAACAATCTTTTCTAAGTCTTCATTTATTCTTTTTGCCCTTGCCCTTGTCATTGGTCCTTTAAGCTCTTCCAATGCCTTCAAGTCTTTGTCTTCAATGGGCCTTCCTTGATTCTCATCAATAATGATGAGTCCCACATCAGTTGGGGGGAGTGACTTATCAGTCTTTAAATAGCTGTGGCGTCCTTCCTTCTAGCATGAGGTCTTTTCCTAGTGTGTCATATCTGGGAGAAACAAAACCGTGAGGGTTAACCCCCAAAGCGGACAATATCATGCTAACCGGTGGACTGGGTGTATGTTATCATTTGGTATCAGAGCTTGGGCCGGAGCCGATGGACCTTATCGGCATATCCGTGGCGGCTTAAGTGCCTTATCGGTGCATCCGTGGCAGACTCTTTTGAAGAGGGAGGGGATGATGAGTCCCACATCGGTTGAGGGGAGTGACTTATCAGTCTTTAAATAGCTGTGGCGTCCTTCCTTCTAGCATGAGGCCTTTTCCTAGTGTGTCATATCTGGGAGAAACAAAACCGTGAGGGTTAACCCCCAAAGTGGACAATATCATGCTAACCGGTGGACTGGGTGTATGTCATCAATTGGTATCAAGAGCTTTGGTTAGAATTGGATTGAAAAGTACTATTCATCGCACGTTGCTCATTGGAAAAAAAAAAGAGAAAAAAAATATACTACAAAAAAAAAATTGCAACACACAAAAGTGTGTTTTTGATATATTTTGCTTGATTCCATACAAAAAAAAAATAGCAGTTGTTTAATGTTATATAATCTTCTTTAAATTCTCCAATTTTGTCTTATTTGCAATCTTTTTTTGAGTGTGCTTATTTCTTATTTAGTCTTTTTTTTTTCTATTGTCTTGTTGGCTTCCTTAGTTTTGTCTTAGAGTTTTCTTTTGTTGGCTTCACTTGAGTCTCATTGATTGATTGTCTCTTGGTTTTGGTTAATTATGTGGATTAGATGTTGACTTCCTTAAGAACTCTTGAGAGCATTTGAGAGGAAAAAGGCAAGAGAGAAATCCTTACACAAAAGCCAATTTAGAGTGAAACACAAGTGAATATCTACTGAGTGAAAACACTTAGCGAGTAGAGAGAACCTTTTCTTTTTACATTAACTTTTATTGTTTTGTAGAATGTCTCAAGAAGGAGGATCAAGTAGAGAGAGCACTCCTGCCTCGCAAATTGAAAGACTTGCTTAAAGATTTGAAAACATGTTTGAAAGGCAAAATGAAGCAATAAGGAATGTTCAAGAGGCGCTGGCAAATAATGCAAGAAGGCGGTCACGTGATCGTTTTCCACATGCCCATGGAGACTCTAGTAATTCTTCAAGAGAAAGAAGAAGAAATAGGAGAGATGATGAAGAAAGGAGGTATGATAGGTGGAGAGATAATAGAGAGAGGAGGAATCAAAGAAGAAGAAGAGAAGATGTAAGAATAAGAGAAAATGAGAGAATTGGTGGAGTTAAAATAAAAATTCCTAGTTTTCATGGAAGGAATGATGTTGAAGCATACTTAGAGTGGGAATTGAAGATAGAGCAAGTATTCTCATGCCATGATTATAGTGAAGAAAAGAAAGTAAAGGTGGCCTCCCTAGAGTTTTACGACTACGCGTTGGTGTGGTGGGATCAAATTCAAAGGGACCGAAGGAGATATGATGAGGAGCCTGTAGATACATGGACTAAAATGAAGAACCTAATGCGTAGGAGATTTGTTCCTACATACTACAATAGAGAGCTTCATACAAAGCTTCAAGGTTTGAGGCAAGGTGGCAAAAGTGTTGATGACTATTATAAAGAAATGGAAGTTGCCATGATACGAGCTAATGTATTTGAAGAAAGAGAAGCAACAATGGCTCGTTTCTTAAATGGGTTGAACCATGACATTCGTGACATAGTGGAACTTCATCCCTATGTGGAACTTGAAGATTTGGTTCACCAAGCTATTAAAGTAGAAACACAACTAAAGAGAAAGGGTACTTTGAGGAAGAATGTCTCTTCTTACAACTCAAAAGGGTGGAAGGAAGAAGTAAAGAAGGAGGAAATATCAATTAAGGATACAATTGTGCAAAGTGGTAAAGCTTCCTCTAAAACTTCTTTTAATTCTACTAATACTTCTGTTTCTCCTACTTCTCAGCATAGAGCAATCAAATGCTTCAAATGTCTTGGAAAGGGTCATATTGCATCTCAATGTCCAAACAAGAAAACTATGATTTTGAAGGAGAATGGTGAAATCTCAAGTGCAAGTTCATCTCAATCATCACATGCTTCCAGTGAAGAAGATAGTGAGTTTGAAGCTTTATGCCATGAAGGAGATTTGCTTATGGTAAGGCGTCTTTTGGGTAGTATAGCTAAAGAGGATGACACTACACAAAGAGAAAATATTTTTCATTCAAGATGCTTGGTACGTGGAAAGATTTGTTCTCTTATTATTGATGGTGGTAGTTGTACCAATGTGGCTAGTGTTAGACTTGTTGAAAAATTGAATCTTACTACTACTCCTCACCTTAAGCCCTATAAGTTACAATGGTTGAGTGATGAAGAAGAGTTGGTTGTTAATAGACAGGTTTTGATTACTTTTTCTATTGACAAGTATGAGGATGAAGTCTTATGTGATGTAGTGCCTATGGAAACAAGTCATATCCTCTTGGGAAGACCATGGCAATTTGACAAGAAAGCTATTCATGATGGTTATTCCAACAAGTTTACGTTTGTACATAAAAGGTGCACAATCACTTTAGTGCCCATGACTCCTAGTCAAGTACATGAAGATCAAAAAGTCATGAAGTTAAGAAGAGAGCAAGAAAAAAAAGATGAGAGAAGAAATGAAAAGAAAAAGAGTGAGTTTGAAGGCAAACTTAAAAAGAAAGGAGGGAAAGTGAAGACACTTACAAGTGAGGAATATGAGAGTGAAGAGAAAGGTGAAACACTTACAAGTGAGAAATATGAGAGTAAAAAGAAAGGTGAAGAAAAAAATCATTATGAAAGGAGAGAAAATTTGTTTGTGAGAGAAAAAGAAGTAAAGAAAGTTTTGTTGGCCTCTCGGCCTATGTGCTTACCTCTGTATAAAGAAAGTCCTCATAATAAATTTATGGATTCCTTTGCTAACGATATTTTGCCTAGTAGTGTTTTCTCTCTTCTACAGGATTTTGAAGATGTCTTCCCTAAAGAAGTATCTTACTGCCTACCTCCAATTAGAAAAATAAAACATCAAATTGAAAAGAAAGTGGAGCAACAAGCAAAGTATATCAATAAGGGAAGGAAGAAAGTAGAATTTGAACCTGGAGATTGGGTTTGGATACATATGTGCAGAAAAAAGTTTCTCATGCAAGGAAATGCAAGGCTTCAAACAAGAGGGGATGAATTATTTCAAATCTTAAAGAGGATTAGAGATAATACATACAAAGTGGACTTATTAAGTAAATATGGTGTTAATGCTACTTTTAATGTATTTGATTTATCTCTCGTTGATGTAGGTAATAAAGAGTCAAATTTGAGGACAAATTTTCTTGAAGAAAGAGGGATTGATGAGAATCAAGGAAGGCCCATTGAAGACAAAGACTTGAAGGCATTGGAAGAGCTTAAAGGACCAATGACAAGGGAAGGGCAAAAAGAATAAATGAAGACTTAGAAAAGATTGTTGCTGTCTTATTTGAAAGGGAGCTCAATTTAGAGTTTGAAAAGTCCAAGATAATCATTTACATATGCTTAGAGGATTTGAACTCTAACGAGTTTTATTAGGATTTAATTATTATGTTTAGTTTATTTATTTTAATATTAGTCATTACTTGTTTTGAGTTTTTATTTAGGATAAAATCTTGTTATTTTATTTAGTCTATTTGAATTTAGGCTTGTTGGTACAAGAAGCCCATTAGGGTTTGCGTTAGTATTAGTTTACAAGCATTAGGCATATATAAGCTCTTGTAAACACACTTTTAATTAGTTTTGAATATAATTTGAGATTGAACACTCTTATGAGAGCGTGTGACTCTAGGTTCTTGAGTGAGCCAATTTTCTTTGATCTTATCAAGAGGCCAAAACTCTTGTGGTGATCGTTCCTTGGCTTATCAATCTTGCGATTGTGGCGCCATTTTCCATCTCTATTCTATTTTTACTTTTTATTAATTTTCTTCTTATTTCAATTCTTATTTGTGCCGTAATAATTTCGCTTTTATTGTGTGAAATCCAATTCAAGATTGTTTAATTCGGTGACACGGTTTGTGGTTGTCATCAGTATTCAACTGGCTGATAGATCAATTAAATATCCTAGGGGTATCATTGAGGATGTGCTTGTAAAAGTGGACAAATTTATTTTTCCTGTTGATTTTGTAATTCTTGATATGGACGAGGACACTGATGTCCCCTTGATCTTAGGTCGTCCATTTTTAGCTACTGCAGGGGCTATAATTGATGTGAGGGATGGAAAGTTAATTTTGAGGGTTGGAGATGAAAAAGTCACTTTCAAAATTCCTGATGTAATAAAAAAGTTTTTGAAATAAGATGATTCTTGCTATTTTATTAATGTAATTGATAATTATGTTTCTGATTGTGCACAGGAATTCTTGATTTCAAACCCATTGAAAAGAAGCTTAGTTCATAATAGAGGAAAAGATGATATAAGCTTGGTAACTCAAGAACAATGGTGTCATTTAGAAGCCACTAAGCCATTATGGAGAAAGAGAGACTTCAAAGTTTTGGAGTGGAAATCAGAGAAGCAACCCAACCCATCCATTAATGAACCACCAGATGAAAAATTGAAGGTCTACCATCATTAAAAAATCAAGGGAGGTAAACTATTTCAAAAAGGTGATTTAGTAGTACTGTTGTACAACTCTCACATCAAATTATTCCCAGGTAAACTCAAATCCCGTTGGTCTGGACCGTTTACTGTGCATAAGGTATTTCCTTGTGGTATAATTAAATTAACTCATCTAGAAAAAGGAAATTTTAAGGTGAATGAACATAGGCTGAAACTGTAACAAGGGGGTCAACTGCAAACTTTTGCAAATGAGGAGTTTAAACTCCTCCATGTTAAATGTTGAATTACATTGAATAGTTTAGGTTAGGTAGGTTTAGTTTATTTTAATTTAGTTATTTATTTGCTCATTTATTTATATTTTGAATAAGCGTCTTCGCCCCAGCATGAACCCTATCTCCTTCTGACCACTTTCTTAGTATAGATGATGAAGACTCAGATGATGAGCAGTTTAGTCTGCAATTAGGAGTCTTAGTTGTTGAACTTTTTACTTATGTTATGTTTAGGATTTAAATTGCTTTTGTCTGTTTATTGCTTCTATTTCTTTATCGCATTATTTTGATCGTTCTACTCCTCTTGTCATTATGAACTGAATTAAATCTTCTTATAAATCAATTTTAATCAGGTTTCCTTTCCAAGTCAATCTCAGATTAGTTTTGCTTCCCAAGATTCTTTG